GAATATGAGGAGAGTGTGTAGCTTTCAAGCAACGGACTGGGCAGTGGTGATGGAGCAGTACATGAAAAGAACTTTAAGAAAAGTGAACTCACCCGAGCTTTCCTTAAGGTAGTATCGCCTGCCTCCGGTACTGGCTACATGGACGATCTTCTCGCAGTATATGAACTGGAGGTCAATGCACCGATGAACTGGAGCAAAGATGACTTATTCACTAGAGAAAATGGACAAAATCTGAGAGAGAGTTGGAGAGTATGAGAATGCAGAGAGATTGCTTTGAGTATTCAAGTGTTTTCTTAGGGATTAAAGGAGCATTTGAGCAAGTTTTAATTTAATCCCGTTTATGTTTTCTTAGGAAACAAAATAATAACCCTAGACTCGATCTTCCTAGTTCCTACAAATTGATGAGTTGTACTAGTAATCTTTAGTGTGACCGACCATAAGTGAAATAAAATTATTTTTTTTTTGTTGCAATGTTGGATTAAGAAAATCGGATCACGTAAAACTCTTGTATCTTCAATATGATCTGGTTCTATTTATTCTTACAAATGATTTGTGTGTGTTATGTGTTTAATTTGCACTACTCTTAACCACTTGAGTTGCGCACTGAACACAACTTAAACACTCGTAAATAGTCGTAATACTCAAACATACTCCATATATATAGTCAATAAATTCTTCTTCCGTGTTTTTAAGGTCCATATGCGAAATATGAGTTTTCTCTCACTTTTCGTAGGCTGGCAAGTCGACGAGTCTTTTTTTGCAAAAAGTTCAATTTTTATATATTATCATTACACTAATTAAGGTGCTCAATTTGTCATAGTTTCAATATGTTCCATATACTCTATCTGTCTCATAAAGTCATTCCCGTTTCAAAAAAATTGTGTACCTTAAATTCATTCTCATTTCTATTAAAAAACCATTTTTACCTTTTATTTTTTCATACCTTACCTATCACATCATACCTTTTTCCTAATAATTTATACATCACATCCTACTTTTACCCATCACATTAAAGGTATTTTTGGAAAATCAACACAAAATTATACCTTCATATTTTACCACTTTAGTCAAACTGTCACTCCGTAATATATAGTCAATATAGTCCATATGTACTACAGTCAATAATTTTCTGGCAAAAAAATAAAAAAATAAAGGTAAGTTTGAAAAATCAGTTCCTAGATATCACGGATGAGAGAATTATTTGTTACTGGGCCAATGGTCAATGGAAGAGGTGAATTAACATTACAATATTACATTACCAGAATTGAAACACTCTCTGTCAAAGAATATCACTCCGTACCAGTTTACTACACTCCTTGTCCCCTCTCGTCTCATTCCCCTGTTTATTGGTCAATTCTGTTTTTTTTCTTCCATTCATTTTTCTTGCTTTGATCAGTACAGTTCATATTTTTCCACAATATTTTATTACTCTCTACCTCTTATATATATATATATATATATATATATATATATATATATATATATATATATGTATGTTCAATTATTTTTTTGTTTATTATTAAAAATAATACTCCTTCCATCCCTCTAAGATCTTCTCATTTTGACTTTTTGTCATTTTTAAGAAGAGTTGAAAAAAGGTGAAAGTTTACCATAATACTTTTAATGAAAATGAGTGGAGTGTATTAAATGAGGTAGGTGAGATGTAATAAATAAAGTAAGTGGTGATAGTTGTGGTATTCTAATGGTTAAAAAAGTTAATGAAAAGATCTATGGTGGACAAATGAAAAGAACTAATGGGAAAATCTATAAGACACGGAGCGAGTATTAAAAATAGATTGAATCAAGCCCGGCCCATGACTCCTCCATTCTCTCTCTCTCTGATAAATGGCATTTCGATCTCATAATAAAGAAATTGTTCCCCATGCACGCGCCCGGCCACACATAGTGTTGCCTTATTATTGCATTGTGTTTTAGATAATACAGAGGATATAAGATGATTAATTATGATATACCCTTTTATATCTAAAATGTACATTTTTGAAATTTGGTGGAGGATAAACCGGTAATTCAATCTAACGAACTTGTATATCACACTATACAAACAAACCAAGAAGGTGTGACACAAAAATGCTACAACACAAGTAATTATCACTGAGATATGACTTGTAGCGTGTTGTAACACCTTCTGTGTCGCTTATGGATAAAATAGAAGTAAGAAAGCGGTAAACGATAACAAAAATGTTTACCCATTTCCGAGCAAAACCTCTTGTGTCTGCGAGCTGAGGCTCACGTACTTGTAACGGTCCTTCCACTAAATCATCGTAAAAATTACGCATTCAATTATAACAGATTATATCTAATGTATTAACTTAATCTTCTTTGCATCTAACAAGTTTTTATTTCAGATTTGAATGCTCCTTAATTTCTAGTTATTATAGAGATCCAGGAACTATTCTAACGATAGAAACTACTCCAATATCTCACGCGGGGAGATCACAAGAAAATCGGGGCCCCTCCAAATAAGAATAAATAATAAGTTGAAGAGTTAAAACAAACTCTAACTCAATTTGTCACTTTGTAAAGTTACGTTACAAACGTACTCCCTCGTTCGGAAATATTCTTCTCACTCTCCTTTTTGGCCCGTCTGAAAATATTCTTCTCATTTCCTTTTTAGTATACTTTTTAAGGATAAAATTCAACAATACCATTCTATGGTATCATTAATATACTTTTTATTGATTTTTTTAATAAAAAAAGGAGATTTAAAAGCTTATACAATGTGCATTTTTGGAAATTTGGCAATTTTTTATTATTCTTTAATAAGCATGTCAAGTCAACACGGTAAAAACATTCCCGGACGAAGGAAGTAATAACTTTCAAACGGGTTAGTCCAACTCATTTCATGTTTGTTGGATCCTATTACAATGAAAATTCAATATATTTTTTTAATAATTTAAGGTCAAAGTTTAAAAATGTGTAAAAAAATCAAACAAGAAAGGTTTTTTTTTGAAAAGAGATATATACTAAATACGAGATAAGAGATGATATAATTATATTTATTGGCCAAGCTATGGTTGAAAATGTGTAAAGAATGAAGATTTGGTTTAACCTTTTAACTGTTTAATTTTCTTTTATTTATTTATTTAG